CACACACACACACTTTTGTGGACGTGTGGGTGATGCGTGATTGGGTTTGGCTCAGGGTTACAGTGTGGTATTTATATGTCTATATATTTAATTATATAAATCAAAATTATCATTGTACTGTATCAGTATTAACGTGCGTATACGAGGTCTGTCCAAAAAGAAACCGAACTTTTTAAAAAACAAATTTATTGCTTTACTTACAATTTAATCAGACTTGTCTCCTTCAAAGTACTCCCCTCCACTGTTGATACACCGCTCCCAACGTTTTTTTCCAGTTCTGGAATGCGTCGTGGAACGCGTTTTGAGGGATGGTGTGCAGGTCTCGTAGCGAATTTTCTTCTCCCCCTTCTATCGTTTGAAATCGGCGACCTATCAGGGTGGATTTCAACTTTTTGAAAAAAGTCCGCAGGGGACAAATCCAGAGAGTAGGGCGGCTGGGGGATGATAGTCGTCTCATGCATCGCCAAAAAGTCATGGATAAGGAGCGATGCATGAGCAGGTGCATTGTCATGATACAGCATCCAGGTTTTGTTTGTCCACGCCTCAGGCCTCTTCCTTCGCACTGCCTCCCTCAAATACTTCAGGACCTCCAAGTAAAATTCTTTATTGACTGTCTAACCACGTGGAACAAACTCATGATGAACGACGCCCTTCCAATCAAAAAAGACAATCAACACCACCCCCACATTTGAGCGACTCTGAAGTCCAGATTTGGGATCGTCTTCGGTGGATGTCCTTCCCCTTTTGAAACGCTGATATTACGTACGGCTCAAACAATCCTCCCCATAAGCCTGTTGCAACATTTGAAAAGTCTCCTTTAAAGTTTTTTCCAACTTGAAACAGAATTTCACGCAAACACGTTGCTCTAAAAGATCCTTCATTGTTCAACTTGCAACAAATCGCCAAGTGTACTAAACACACGTTCACTTTAGCACGTGTAGCTCGATGACTAATTGATTTAGATTAGATTGCCCACAAGGAGGCTAGTTTATTGGGCACCCCCATACATCCTGTGCAAGGTGAAGTGCAGAAGCGTTTACAGTGCCCATGCTTGCCTTTATGACTCGTGCATTAAGGGCGTAAAAGCCTGAAGGGTCATGGGTTTTGTTAGCAAGTTACATAAAGTGACAGAATGATGAATGTGTGGGGGGAGAATTCCCAGTACAATTTATCTGTTTATGGCAAAGTGTGGCAGGTCCCTAATAATGTCAAATGCCGGGCCTGTCACTAGGAGGAGGGATATCTGGTCAGGGAGGGAAGAGGTGTTGGTAACGGCTGGGGACCTGTAGGAGGAGGTCATAGGGCAAGTGAGGATGTGGTGAGAGAGGGTGTGAGAGTCGGTTGACCACAAAGTTTACAAACAGTGCGGCCAGGCTCAGGGTTGCCAGTGGGTGTGGAGGTGATATGGTGTGGTGGGGCAGGTACAGTAGGGGTGGAGGGAGGCACATAGACATTGACAATATTGAGGGACACACCTTTTAGTGTGATTGAGAAGGTGTGTGCGTCGACATGCCGGTGGGGTACAGGTAGCAAGGGGTGGTGTCCTCAGGTCCAATAGATAGCCCTGGTGGAGTCAGCACAGACACAGTAGCGGGCACGGCTTGCGGTGGGTGGAGGACAGGTTGAGGCACCATGTGTCGTGAAGATGAGGCAGGACCTCGCTCGGGGGCAGCAGGACACACCAGGGCAGGCCCGGTAGGCACTACACCAGTAGTGAAGGCCGCCGGCGGTGGAGTAGGCCGTGAGCAGGGGGGGCTCACAGAGGGACTACCAGCTTGTGTCAAACCAGAAGAGAGGAGTGACTGGGTGGCAACAGATGGCAAGAGTAGGTCGGAGATGGTGGTACAGAGTGTAGCGAAGGATATGATCTGTGTCATGTCGTTGGGGGGCACCGGTGGGAGCACAAGGCCTGGCGGCTTCAGCGTACAGATGGGGAGGAGGCCTAGTAGTAGTTGAGTTAGGAGACGGCTGGGACTGCTGTGTTGCAGCCAGGAGAGGCCAGGCAGGGGCAGGTGTTGTTGAAGAAGGCATTGCTGGAGACAGAGGGGACACAGAGGGGTGTGGCCCGGAAGAATGGGATGGGCGTTGTGGTAGATGTGGCCTTTGGGGAGGCTTTTCCCCTGGGACAGACGGGCGATTGGGGCATTGCCGTGAGTCAGCATTGTGCCGGCCGCCACAGTTACAACATCTGGGATCAAACTACACAGCCCACAACACCCCTATTAAAGTGGTCTTTGATTTTCTGGGCACAGGCGGCGGAGTTATGGTTATGTGAACAGAAGTGACATCTGGGACGATCACGTCGGCAGCAGGCAGTGAAGGTGTGACCCCAATGAGAACAGAAAACACAAAATGTAGGCCCAGGATGATAGGCTTCTGCATACAGTGGGGGGAGGAGTGGGTGGGCATCCACAGTGGTTGGGCACTCCCTTCCCTTCCACTTGACAATGACAGCAGCTTGTGGAACTTTGCCCCAGTAATGTCGACGTATACTCGGTATACTGGAATTAAAGTCACACGCATCTTTGATGCCAGCGTATAGGGGGAAACGTTTCACTAGGATGTGGCAACATTCATCAGCATCTACTGGGGGGGGCACCAGGACGACCCCGTCAAAGACAACAGTACTAAGTGTCATAGACCTCAGGAGTCTGACACTTGATAAAATTCCGGTTCTTACCTTGTCGGAATTGAATGTTGAAACCGTGCTGTCTGCAGTACTTCATCATCCAATTAAAGCATTCCTTTACAGTTTTCAAAGAGTCCTTGGGAAAGTGCAGATTCAGCTTACTTAGCTGGTTGGCAGAGGGCAGGGTGTATAGGGTCCTTGGCATTGGTGTTTCCACTCCGGTTAGTGTTTCCCAAAGAAACATTACCATCACTGTCATAATCACCGGGGTCTGACTCTCGAAGAGTGTTGGATTCAGTATGACCAGGCGAGTTGGTAGTGGCATCCGTATCAGAGATGTCTGCATCTGCGTTCATGAGAGAGCCTCTTCTGGGACGTTTATGTCAACCCCCATGCTGGCAAAACTTGCCTGCTGAGGGGACCTTTGTGGGACGATCGGGAAGTACAGTATACAATATATCATGACTATAGGAGTTCATGCTTAACACCTCTGAACTTCTGCTTGCCTGGGGGTTATAGTACCTACTGTCATCTACCTGGAATTCCTCAACAGCCTCCCTAACAGCGAATACAAAATAAGAGGTGAAAAAGTAGTGTCCCTGCCAACTGTTAACAGTATGTAAAAGCAGTGATATACTGTATATCCATACTAAAATAATACCCTGCTCAAAACAAGTACAAAAAATGCATTGGTTAATTGTCTGTGATATTTTGATAATGATATTGAAACAGTTCATTTAGCCAGAAAAATATAGATACAGAGTAATTAATATTTATACTGACATGGCTGAGCCAATTGAGAGCCTGAGCTCTCTTAGTAAAACCAGTGTAAAGCTGTGATTACCAGCGTTGCTCTTTTTGAAAAACCGGAGGGAGGATATTCCCTAAGAATTTTAGTGTTTGAATTTTGAAGGTATATTTATTTTAAATATTAAAGGCAGTACAGTACATAAGAACTGATACATACCAGTGAACGACACCTTTTTTTTTTTTTTCTTTTTTTTATTGGGCACCCCCTACATCCTTGTGTAAGGGGAAGCGCAAAAGCATTTACAGCGCCCAACAGGGAAGCATGCTAAGTTCATGCTTGCCTTTTATGTCTCATGAGTGAAGGGCGTAGAAGCCTGATGAGTCAGTGGTTTATGTCAAGTTATTGGAAGCTCCAACAACTCCCTGAATACGAATTCGCAACTATCGACTTACAACAGGTACCTACTTTACTGCTAGGCGAACAGGGACTAATGGGGGCTAGGAAGTAAGTCCAAACAACTTCCACCGGCCCGGGAATCGAACCAGTGATATCTCGCTCGCGAGGCAAGAACGGTACCGCTTCTACCACCGGTCCCCCTAAACGACGGCATTGAGTTGTCAAAACATGTAATCATAACAAAACATGTCTTGGCAGCTATAAACATCAACAGATTTTCAGAAAATGATTGATTGCACAGTAAGAGATAAAGGATTAATGTAATTTGCGAATTAGCTGCAAAAACAACAAGGTGAAATGACCATTTTATGAAAACCGACACAGTTCGTCAAGTTCCCAAACACCGGGGTTTAACCTGATAGTTTGAAGACTAAATCGAAATATTTAGTAACTAATCATAAGAGTGATGCAGTTCTATCAATGGTTAGGAAAAAACAACAACATTGATTATGAATAAATGATGTGTAAGTTAGAATATCGATTATATATTCGCCATCCTAACTTACTCTTTTTAGCCAAGTGAAAAAAGAAAATCAGTGTCTTCATTGACCATTAATCATTAGCCTATGGATTCACTGAGACACATGTGCAAGACTGACTTACATGCGTGAACCTGCACATACTGTACATGTGAATGAGTTTTACAGTAGTACTGTATTTTCATATATTGTGAATCCGCGTTCAGCTGTGATAATGCCAATATTTGTATTACAGGGTGCCTGAGTATGGAGACAATATGGATTTTTATCTATAATTTTAATCCCTCTTCTCTCCTGTGATATCATCCATTGTGTACAATAGCATTAGCACGCCTGCCATGTCACAATACGAGGGTAGCGGCGTAGCGTATGCCGCGGTCCGCGTGGCTCCCTGACAATGTATTTCGCAATAATGGTTAAAATGGGCCAATTCTGTCACGGGTCGGGAGCCTAATTCTTATTAAACTTGTAACATATCGCACACGGCAGATTCGCGAGGGTAGTTCATTGACGAAACTATTCATTTGAAGGTAATGAACAGACTAAGCCTCACGATATGAGTATAATATTTATAAATAAAAAACAAATGTACTATAGAGGTACTGGCGGTAAAAAAAAAAAAGGTGAGAGAAGGGGCCAGCAGGCAGCGCGGCACTGTTGCCATCGATCGTGGATCTCACAGTTCACAACTCCACGCCAAGCCCGGCACTGAGTGACGCTCAGACGCTGACTCCAGCCAGTGTCCTGTGGGAGGTCGTGAGTGGTAGTACTGCGCTTCCCACTGCCACTCCCCGCTTTGTGTCAGTCCCGCAACACATGCCTGCTTGTGTGTTACCAGGCTTTGGGTGGAAGATTGTGACGTGAGGTGTAACGTGTGAACTCTGGTTACAGAAGGAACTTGTTAAGCCACAAAGGACACCTTCAAACAAAAGCAGAAGTGAACCCACGTGAGTGTTGGCTGCCCACCTACTGTCACACTTGCAAAGTTTAACCTAACTTCAGTAATGCAGAAAGACCCAACCTATCTGCTCTCTGCTGCTGGACTGTCACTTTGAAAAGGATTAAACCGTTGATTCACCGCCTGGACCTATAAAGTGCTAACTAGGTGTTTACCCCAAATCGGTCTTTATTAACTGACTTAGAAATAAATTTGTATTCTTCGCGTGAGATCCAAAGTCTATTGTCGAGATTTATGTGTTAAAGTGAGTGGAGGAGGTGGCAGGAGTGGTGGCATAATAAGAGAATCAGTGCGGGACTCCTGAGTCCTTGTTGGTGTCCTGGGCGTCCCCACCCACACCTGGTCCGCCAACCTGCAGGTGAGTGTCTACCCCCCCCCCCCCCTCTGACTCGCCTTTACATCCTCAGTTTACTTTGATATCACCTGAGTTTCTGTTCAATTTAAGTACTTAGCGTACTTAATATTGGAAGGACAAATACTTATAATGTATACAGCCTTAACAACATCAACCTAGAGAAGTCAACTTGTGAAAGAGACCTAGGGGTACTTGTAAGCCCGGACCTACGGCCTAGAAAACAGTGCGTTAATGTTCGAAATAAGGCAAACAGAGTATTGGGTTTTATATCTAGAAGTGTAAGTAACAAGAGTGCAGAGGTCTTATTGCAACTATACTGTATCTTGCGCTAGTCAGGCCGCACCTCGATTATGCGGTTCATTTCTGGTGCCCTTATTATAGAATGGATATAAATTCACTAGAGTCGGTGCAGCGAAGAATGACAAAAATGATTCCGGGACTTAGAAACCTTCCATATCAGGATAGGTTAAAGAAACTTAACTTGCATTCCCTAGAAAGACGAAGAGTGCGGGGAGGTATGATAGAAGTATTTAAGTTGGTGAAAGGAATCAATAAAGGGGATATAGATAAAGTTCTTATAATATCCGAGCAGGATAGGACCCGTAGCAACGGATTCAAGTTGGATAAGTTTAGGTTTAGGAGGGAGATAGGAAGGAACTGGTTCACAAATAGGGTGGTAGACGAGTGGAACAAGCTTATCAACTTTGTAGTAAGTGCGGGAACTCTGGAAAGTTTCAAAAGGAGGCTGGATATATTCATGGATGCTAGAGAGTGGTAGTAACTCTCGACAGGAGCTGCCATGCACAGGCCAACCGGCCTATTGCAGACTCCTTATTTTCTTATGTTCTTATGTTTTTACTGATTATTATCGGCACTTGCATCACAGACTTTTTGTATATGACAAAACTTATGTTCGTTGTTCATGTGGCACATCAGTAGAACACCTCTCCATTTTGGGGTAAGGTAGGTTAGGTTAGATTAGATTATATGGGAAATGTTAAATATATAATTTACAGGTAGGGTTAGGTTACAGGTGTATGAGTTAGGCTAGATTATACGCCCTTGAATTAGGCAAAGTTACAAGTCTTCGAGTTAAGATACAAGTATGAGTTAGGTTAGGTTATAGGTATTTGAATTAAGTTACATGTATTGAATTAGGTTAGGTTACAGGTTTTTAGTTAGGTTAGTTTTCAGGTATTTAAGCTTGGTTATGTTTGGTTAGGTTTCGGGTATTTGAATTAGGTGAGCAATACCTAAATGGTTTGGTTTAGGATTCTACAGCCTGCTTGACAAATTGAAGATCAAAGTACGTTACTGAAAACGGAATGAATGAACTATATGGAACATTTATTTAAGGAAAAAAAAAAGAAAAAACACTTATACTTCGAGTTGATCAAATTTAGTTTTGCAATATGCTGTGGATATATTGCCGTTAACTGGCGAGTGACGGGAACTACTACTGGCTTGTTTGTTTTTACTTTATCTTCAGTTGCAGAAAATATATTTGACGTAGGTAATTTACCAGTCATAGTTAATAGATGAACTAAATTACTCGGCATGTTATTTCGTCATTTCGTGAGTACACCACTATTCTATGGCGTGAAATGATAAAGTACTCTGTATCTGGCGCTAGATCTATCGCGATGGTCTTAATTTTCGTTTTACCCTGCATACCAAGGGTCACATATCTTTACTTATATTTTGTTTAATTTTATTAGAGTCGTTAATGAGGGGGATATTAAAGTTAGTCTAGTGATTGTCATGTCGATTATTATTGACTTGTCCAAACTGAGTAAGGTGTTTGCTTCTTGCTTCCAGATACCGTACCTTCAAAATATTATACAGTACAGTGTGATAACGTTAGTGCAGTGTAATGTTCTATTTCTCGTAATGATAAAATTATCGTTTCGGTCATCCTTATGTTTTTCCGACGGTTTTTGACGTGTTTTTAATGATTTTGATCTAACTCAACCTAACCTAAATTCATAAGATTCCCCGGATGACTGAAACGATAATAACACCCTCGTTAATTATTAGTTGTTGGTGAACTACTTGAATTACTAACCTTGCTACGCACTTAAAGATCTTAGTAGTTGAAGCGCAGTGGATGTCACCAACTACGAGGGTGATATTTACGTGTTTTTTTTTTACCTTATGATGGCGGTTTTCGTATTTATAGTTCTGTATGTATTTACAAACACCATGTTAAATGTACTAATCCACATGATACTAAAATAAAATGACATGATACTAAATGTTATATAATCCCTTGAGATAAATGTACAGTATATTTCAGATGCCACTAAGAGCGCTCAGGCTCTCAATTGGCTCAACCATGTCATTGTTGTTATTATTGTCCACTCTGTATCTTTATTTTTCTGGCTAAATAAAATGTTTCAATATCACTATCAATATCAGTATGGCTACAACGCTCGTCTCATATCTCAATGGTCACTGATTTGATTCCCGAAGAACCCCCAGTTCATCCAGCTCTAAGCTACTGTAGTACTTGTACCTAACTACAAGTTACGGAAATGAAGACGGTAGAGTGCCTTCTGCGTACCAAAAGGCTTCGTCTACATGTGGGCTGTGTCCAGACTTCGTTCCTTGACAGTAACACGTCGTCAAGCCTGTGGGATCTACTTTCACTTTTATAAACCAATGGATTAGATATATCCTTGTCAACAGATAAACATACAGGATTTAAACAACTGATTACTCTTTTTTTGTGCAACAAGTCAGAATGTTTACGTTGACATTCCAGCAGCCTTGGATGCCTAATTTTGAAGAGTAGTGTGTAGTTAGGAGGGATACCTCGTAACCTCCCAAACCAAGGCCATGGTTATAATATACGACCATAATGGCCAAATCTTGATAGGGACATTCAACACAAGAGGACGAATATTAGTCTACGCGTTAGAGGGGGAGGGGGTTCGTGTTTATTGTTTATATACGGCGTTACCCATTATTTTCTTGTACTATATGCAAAACCTTTGAAAAAAATTCTGGTTGTCAAGCCCAGATCCAGTTAGGTAACCCTACAGCTCCTCCCGTACCCTTATATTAACACTTTTATGTAAACATTCAAATATACATTATATCATCTGGAAACGTGATCTTGGTGTCTTTAATTGGGATTTTGACCTTAGAGGCATCGATTTTGTGACCAGAGGTCATTTACATCTCATAAATCCAAGATGGCCGCCAAACTCACCGTGAAAGAGGAACATAATTTCGCAGGTTTTCCTCATACAATATTATTGGTGTCTTTTTGTTACTTGTTGACCATAACTTTTTTATTTTCTGCAAAGTGTCCCCCAGTCCTTCACAATTTCGTTACAAAAAAGGTCATGACAGGAAATTTGTAACGATATCTTGAATGAAAGGGCAAGGAGAAATACATGGCCTTCGCCGAGATAGAATCCTGGAGAAATTGTCAAAGTTGTGTGACACCATTTATAGAACAAACCTCAAGACTATGAAGACAATTAAAAAATAAAATAAAATAAGCCACAGAAGGCAACCAAAAAGGTGGTGAAAGAAATGAACTTTAGAGATAAGTTAATTGTTTTCGAGGCCTCACCACCAACGATCTCCTGAAATACAATATTTTTCCCTCTCCTCTCCTGTTTGACGAAGTTGGACTCATGGGAAAGCCTGTGAAGAGTCAACTCATGAGTAAACTGGAAGCTCATCTCATACCTGAAGAATATTCCTACCATCATCAGCCAGAATCAGTCTTCATCATAGACTCATAGACGTCATGACAACTGTCCGTAGAGTGACATTCACTGGGCTTCCAGACTTCTTTAATGTTCTTTCAAAATTCCCAAAGATGACGAATGTGTACCAGACTTATGGGAGATGTGATTACGTCTTCGACATACAGTATAGTGAAATCCATCTGTGAAAGACAGTGAGAGACTGAGGAGAGCTGACGTGACTCCCACCAATCTTAGGGTGGTTGAGCAGTCGATATCTCTTCCCAAACACATGACCACATTCTGGCCTTCTAACAAAAATAAGATGCTTCTAGAGAAGCTCATCTGTTCTCACCTGCGCAAAAAGTCTTCTCAAAACCACGACTACTCCACTGGGCTTGGTCAGGTCGTTCCAGAAGACAAGTATTAGCACTTGGCAGTGTATAAATGTGCATCAAAGCGGAGAAAATGACGTGTCTCATCTTCAGTCATGAGTCGAGGAAGCTGACCGCATTTCCGTGCATGTCCTTGACTGTCTTAAGGCAGGATACAGACACAAAACTTGTGTTGTGATTTCAAATGATACTGGTGTGATAGTTGCTCTATTGTATTATTGCCCCGTCTTTCTGCAACAAGAGTTGAAGCAACTGTGGGTGCGCTCTGGAAAAGGTAACACAGTTTGTTTTGCCCCTTCACATCCTGCATACGCGTCTGGGTCATGACCTATATACAGTTCTTCCAGCTCTACATAGCCTTACAGGGTGCGACATCACTAGTAAAATAGGTACCAAAAAGGCTGCCCTTGATGCATAACTTCAAAAACACTTGAGGGGGGATTGGTAAATCAGCTCCTCTTCCTCCCGTGTTGATTCATAATGCCGGGCAATAATTGGTAGATGTTATTAAGATTAGGAGCAGTTCTATCAATTTCGTAGATTTCCGAGGCTACGAGCTGAAATATTCCACTGCTCGAAATCTGGGTCACATCAAAACGTGCCTTCAACTAGCCATGGTCTTGTACCTCAAATTCAGCGTGCCTTTTATAGTGCGTACGTCACCATGCACGCTTTGGAGAGTTACATAGAACCTGGGTCAGAAGCTGATCCACTAAATCCAGAGTGTGGAGTTAACGCTTGACGATGGACATCTAAATTCCTCCAATGCTCGAGGCGTGTTGGTCAGTTTGTAAGTATGGGAAATGTGTCCGAGCTACTTGCCATTGAAGGGTGGCCAGGGTAAGGTGTGGAAGTTCTGTTATTGTAAAAGTACGAAATCTTGCATAAGTCCATTTACTTAAGTTGA